ACTATGTATGTCTTGGACTTCACTCCCAATAACGCTACTTTGTTTTCTTAATATTGACTTCTGCCCCAAAACACAGATTAGTTGAGTTGAGATTTAAAGCTGTTCTGGATGTGTTTCTTCACACTATGGATGCTTAGCTTTCATTTCATGGAAACGATATTGTGAGAAGATAATACATGGAAAGCCCCCTGACTCTCTGCTTGCTCCCATCTGCCTCAGTTTTGTGATGGTCAACAGTGTTGCCCTGGAAGGGGACGGCTGCAACATTTGCTCAGAAGCAGAAGCTGAGCTCATCAAAATTTCTCACAAACTGAATTGCTCCCGAGAGGTAGGAGATCATTTCAGTTGGCACAGGTGCCTTATGTTCTGGTATTTTCTAAGGGCACAGTGAGTTGTGTTTCTGTGTGTTTCTGTCACTTCTTTAGCTCCCTCTTCCCTTCCTACCATGCACTGAATGCTGGGCTTGCCGGGTTAACTGATTTCTGATCAGCAGGCACATCGCTCCAGCCGGTGTGGGGATGGTCAGCTGCTGCCAGCGTCAGCCCCCATCCTTCTGCAGGTGAGGTGGGGAGAAAGCAGCTCTGTGTATTTGGCAGAACCACCCAGGGTCTCATGCAGTCACACCTGACTCCTCTCTAAATCCTGGACAGCATTTTCCGCTTTACCGGAGAAGTGATGCTAACTGTTCTGGGGAAGATGCCGCACCTCCAGAAGAAAGGGGAATCCCCTTTAAGGAGAGATACGATGCACTTTCTCGGGAGGCCTCACAAAAGGTTTGGCAGTGTACCGGAGGCTAACTAAAAGACAGGGGACGGAGGGCAGGGTTTTGGCAGTATCTCAGGTTTTCAGGTCATCGTTTTGTTCCTCCCCTTCCCCCAGTAAATCTGCTTCTATTTCCTAATATCAAGCGTAATAATATTCTCAGCTATTCTTTATTCAAAGTTTTTCTACCAATTTGAGTGTTTTTGGGAATGTTAATGAAACTTAGAGTTATATTTTTAAGGACTTAAACTGTTCTTCCTTAAATATATATTTATACAATACCTAATATACATATAATAAACTTATTTATGAAATAAATTGATAAAGTACTTATAAAAATTTAAAAATATAAAATCTGGGATGAGAAGAATAGATTCTAAGAGCCTGAAGTTACTTTTGATAGATTCTAAACAAATCAAAGGCTTATAAGGACAAGATAAAGCAGTCCTATGAAGTAGGGATTTCATATTTAACTTAATGAAATCAATGACACTCTGGTTGTGGGCCCCAGCAAGGCTCCATCCAAGTACTAACTGCCCGTTGCTGCCCCCTGGGCCACAGCTTCTCTGGTGGCTCCGGCCACGCCTGGTACTGAGTGGCCACACGCACAGTGCCTGCGAGGTGCTCCAT